TGGGGAATTGTTGATGCAACACCTCTGAGAAAGGGAATATTTCGTGTGTATGCTAACCTGTTATGTACATATCTATGAATATTTCTGTGTGTGACCATTCATAGCTATATTAAGATAAAAATGAGCTCACACCGATGTCTCTGACTTTATTACCACATTGATCACTGTAGCCTTTCCCCCTTGCTCTTCTGTAACCTTTATTCTAACAGTGACAAATGTGGCTGTCACCACTGGCCGCCTCTTTGCTTAATTCTTTAATTCCACCATACACGGATAGTGACATCAAAATTGTTGACCTGTACCGCCCCCCAGAGGATATAACTTAATCAGCTGGAGTACGATGCTCATGTGCAGTTTTTGTGCCTGTAGTCTTTCTGCACTCACTCCCAAAGTTAGTTAGGTAGCATGTTTTTCCTCTACCCCCTTCAGTGAAATTGTTTCATATACCTGTAATATAGTTAGATTGCTTTGAGTGTTCTGTATTTCTTCTGGGATTCTATTACATCCTAAATAATTTTTTGAAAATTTGCATACATTAAGGTTCACGCTTTGTGCTGTGAAGTTACAGGTATTCAAAAATGCATAATGTCATGTAACCACCATTACAGTATCATGCAGGCTAATTTTACCACCCTCAAGATACCCTTTGTGGCCCTGCCTCTGTGGCTCAGTTGGTTGGAGTGTTGTTCTATAGAATGAAAGGTCCCAGGTTTAATTCCCAGTCAGGACACATGCCTAGGTTGTGGGTTTGGTTCCTGGTTGGGGCACGTGTGAAAGGTGGCTGATCGATGTTTCTCTCTCACATTGATGTTTCTCCCCCCCCCCCCATCCCCTCTTTCTAAAACCAATAAGCATGCCCTCAGGTGAGGATAGGAAAAAAGGGATTCCCTGTGTGATTTTCTTCTTCAACCCTCCCTTCTTCCCCCAAACCCAGAACTACCACTGATCTTCACACTGTCTCTAGTTTTGCCTTTCCCAAATGTTATGTAATTGGAATCATATGGTATGTGGTCTTCATAGACTGTGTGTTTTCGCTTAGCAATACATACTTAAGATTCATCCATGTCATTTTGTGGCTTGATAGCTATTTTTTTTTGTTGTGGAATAACATTTCATTCTGTGGATATACCATGGATTTCTTCACCTATGGAAAGATATCTTTATTGTTCCCAGTTTTTTTGTGATTATGAATAAAAACTGCTTTAAACATTTGTGTGCAGATTTTTGTGTAGACATAAATTTTCAGTTTATTTAGGTAAATATCTAGGAACAGGATTCCTGAATCATGTAACTTTATAGGAAACTGCCTGTGTTCTGAATTGGCTGTACCACTTTGCATTTCTACCAGCAAAGAGTTAGAATTCCTGTTGTTCTGCATCCTTTCCAGCATTGGTGTTGTAAGTGTGGTATCTAATGTTGTTTTAATAGGCATTTCCCTAATGACGTATGATGTTGAGTATCTTTTCAGATGCCTATTTGTTATCTGTATATTTTCTTTAGCGAGTTGTCTGTTCAGGTATTTTGCCCATTTTAAAAATTGGATTTCTTTTTCTTATTGTTGAGTTTTAAGAGTTCTTTGTGTATTTCAGATACAAGTTTTTTTTTTTTATCAGATATGTGTTTTGCAAATATTTTATCCCAGCCTGTGGCTTGCAGTTTCATTGTGTCTTGGCAGAGCAGAAGTTTTTTTAAAAATACAGTTTAACTTATCAATTTTTAATTTCATGGATTATGCTTTTGGTATTGGATATAAAAACTCATTACCACATCTAAGGTCACATAGATTTTTCTACTATATTTTCTTTTAGATGTTTCATAGTTTTGCATTTTACATTTAGGTTTATAATTCATTTTGAGCTGAATTGTAGGGTGGGGGAGGAGGGTGAAGATACCTCTGATGTCTTTTCTTGTTCTTGTAATGATACCACTTCCATCTATTAGGACCCCACACAAAGACCTCATTTAATTTGTATTCACCTCCTTAAAGGCCCTGCCCTGAAGTACAGCCACTCTGGGGGTTAGGGCTTCAACATAGCAAGTTCGGGAGGATGCAGTTCAGCCCATAACAATATGATGAAAGCACGATTGCTATGAATTTGTTTCTGAATATGGCTTTATCTCTAATACTGTGGTGTATTAGAGTACACCACAGTATGTGGTGTCATCATTATTCTCTACAAGTTGCTATTCTTATTTTCTCATTGATCTAATAGTTAATTAGAAAGTGATGGTGCTTTCCTTTGTTCTCTGGAATTTTTTATAAGCCCTATATTTTAAAAGCTAATACAGACATTTATAATGTGGTTATTATTTGAATATTTTGAATTTATTGAATTTTTTACAGTGTAATAGAGTGGTTCTCAGTTGTAGGGGTCATTTGTATATGTGTATTTTTGGTTTGCATAATGATGTGTGGCCATGGGAGGGCCACTTCTAGTTCACAGGTGCAAGTGAGAACTTCTGAATCTCCTCCATGCCACTGGCCAGCCATGGGGAACTGTGGGTTTGTGTGTGGTGTGTGTGTGAGCGAGTGAGTGAATATTTCAGGCCCTGTCTCCCTCTAGATGTGCCACACTGCCATTACTGCTTTGTAGCTGCCATGGGTAGTTTGAGCACTGTGTGTGGAATCTCCTCCCAGAGTTCCAGGTGTGCAGTGAGGCAGAGCCCATTCTGCACTGGGTTTCCCCAATCTCTTTGGGGCTTTCTGTCCAGCTCTAGGATGTGTGCCAGAGAGCAGCATCACACTAGTGTCACTTTATTTTATTTCTCTGAGAGGGGAGGGAAACATTGATATAAGAGAGAAACATCTGTTGGTTGCCTTTTACGTGCAGCCCAACTAGGACTGAACCTACAACCTAGGCATGTGCCCTGACTGGGAATTGAACCTGTGACCTTTTGGTTTGCGGGATGACACAGAATCAAGTGAGCCACACTAGCCAGGGCTTTTGTCTCTTTTGTCTAAACTCATTGCCTCTTTTAGGTCCTTCCTGTTGTCTGGGGTAGACTTTAATTTCTTTCCTAGGTGGCAGCAAACAAATTATATCCTTCAATCTTCCTCTTGCAAGACTAATTAAAAATGGTGCTTAGTCCTTAAACCTCTGGGTCTTGATCTCTGAAGGGAGATTTCTTTCTTTCCAGATAAATGTTTGTAGTGAGGAGAGGAATATAAAAAATTTTCCTATTAACTTTTAATTTTGATGTAATTTAAAATCTAAAGTCTCAAAACAAGTACGAATAATTCTCAAATACCCTTCACCCAGATTCTGTAAGTGTTAACATTTTACCACATCCTCCTTTTCTCTCTGGCACATATCTGTGTGTGTATAGATGTGTATGTATGTATAGATGCTGATACATGTTTGTGTATACACACAGTCCCTCCCCTTGTCTCCCTCTGCACACGAGGATGGACACACACAGAAAATCAGGAAATTAACATTGATAGACAATAATACTCTTATCCTATCTACAGGTTTTATTCATATTTTGTCAATTGTCCCACTAATAACCTTCATAGCAAAAGCAAATCCCAGATCATGTATTGCATGTAGTTGTCATATCTTTTTAGTTATTTGTGTTTTATGACATTTGCATTTTTGAAGACTATAGGCCTGTTGTTTTATAGACTTTTCCTCAGTTCGGGTTTGTTTTTGTTTCACACCATGAGGTTCAGGTTATGCATTTTTGGCAGGACTCCCACAGCAGTGATACTGTGTCCTCCTCAGTGGGTCATGTCAGGAAGCACATGATGGCGGTTGTGCCATCGCTGGGGGTATTAACCTTGACCAGTCGGTTGAGTGTCTGCCAGGCTTCACTGTAAAGTTACTGTTTTTCCTTTTGTGTTGAATAAGTTATCATGTGAGGAGATACTCTGAGGCTGTTATCCTGTTATTCTTCAAACTTTCACTCACTAGTTTTATCACCCATTGATGATTTTTACCTGAATTAGTTATTATTATGATGGTTACCAAATGGTTATTTCCTAAATCCATCATTTCTTCTATATTAGCTAGGTTCTTTCTTTTTCCTTTCCTTTCTTTTCCTTTCCTTTTTCCCTCCCCTTCTCTTTCCTTCTTTCTTTCTCTTTCTAAAGGAGGACTTCTGGAATTCAGAAAAGGTTTTTTCTTTTCTTTTCAAGGAGTTAAACTCCTGCATTGAATGCTTGACTTTCAAAACTGTTGAATTTTAGGCCCAACTCCAAGCTCTGAGGCCTTTGTTATAGGCTGTACCCACCCTCCAGCTGAGGCACGAATGCCAGCAGGCTGTGGGTGGAGAGCCACAGGGTCATAAGAATAATTTCGGCATAGGAAAGGCCCCTACGTTTAAAATCTTCAAATATCATCTTGCTATAATAGTTTTTAGTATTGCAAGTTTTTATATTTTTGTGTTTTTACAGGTGCTTTACTGTATAATTGAGCGAAACTCAGTTGAGCTATTAAAAAGGAATTATGGGATGAAAAATAAATATATTAGCACTTTAAGTATATGAAGTAGCTTAAACCTGTAATAAAATGTTGCCGAATTGCTAATTTGCTGCACATGCCTTAATGGATATTTAAGATCCTTAAACACAGTCTTATCTTAATGACTGACCATGTATTTGAAATCTGCACCCTGGCAATCTAAAATAAAAAAGAAAAACACAATTAAAGTTACTCAGTATGCATAATCTCTGTATTATGAACGTTGGAATTTAGCTGCATTATGTCCAGAGAGTTAATGTGATATTTTACACATCCTTGTACATCATCTGTTCACAGAAGTTCTAGGGAACTGCTGTTTGGCCATGTAGCTTTCTGCTGTCTGTTTCAGCGGTCATGCCTACACAGGTGATTGTCATTTCTACCTGGAAGTCACACTCTCTTAAGACGTGTGTGTGTAGAGGTGATTGAGGACTATTGCAGAGAATATTCGATTTTATCTTTTTCTTTAAACTGTTCATATACACAGTACCTTATTTATTTTGTGTGTATTAAATAAGTGATTTTTCACATTAATAGATCGTTCTCGCTATGAACATGAAGACACCTTTTTCTCAGTGTTTCACACTCAAGTCCCTCCAGAAGAATATGAAAACCATATACAGACTGTCAGTCAAGGTATGTTTTGATTTGTATGATTTTTTAATGTATTGTCACAAGAAATTACTAGCTGTGTGTATAGAAATGTTCACTGATGAAATGATTTGATATGATTTAACATATAAATAAGTGGACATAGGTGAGGTTCTAGATGAAACAAGGTTGGTCATGAGTAAATCATTGTAGAAATTAATTGTTGAGGATTTGTTATACCATTCTTTCTCCTTTGGGATGTTTGAAATTTTTTATGTAAAACAAGTTAAAGGAAAGCTGACTGCAAGTAATGAAAATGTAGTTTAAGCAAAAAGGAAAACGTATGGAAAGAATCCTGTCGATAGACTGCCTCTTTGACTCCCAGGAGCACATTCTGTGGGTGGTCATTGAGAAGGACACTCTATTCCGAGATGCTGCAGACCAACTGATCCAGCCTGGGTTAGGCGCCTACCACTGGTCCAGCCAGCTCCTCCAGCCCAGCGTGGATGGGGGTCACTCCAGGAACGTGGCAGCTTCTTCCATGGATCACCGCTGGTGTGGGGAGAAGAAGAGGATGTTTCTAGTGAGACAGCTGTGACCAGACAATCCAATGTTTTTCTCCTATAATTTCTCCTCTTTCTTTAAAAGTATATTTTAAAGAAAGTCTTACAGATGTAGACATGGGTGCATTTAATTTGAGTTACTTTAACGTTGTGTTGTTTAAGAGTATTTGAAACTTCAACTGAATGAATAAACCTCATATTTCAACTTAAAAGACTATTTACAACTTGGATTATGGTAAAAGATATATGTTTTATATCCAAGGAGGCTGCTCATCAAAAAGGTGACTCCTACTTTAACTATTGGTAGTTGTTTAAAATAATTATGTTATTGATTAGAAAATAAAACCCTAATTATAAATCACAGATTTATTTTTCTCAAAACTTATATTTGAGTAAAGCTTTTTTAACTCTAATTTATTTTTGTTTTAAAAGAATTTAAATTCAGAGATCTTATTCTTTCCTGGTCTTTGCAGCTATTATCAAAATGTATTGTTTAATTATTAAATTTTTATTGAGTCTGTGATAATTAGCTACAAGTATCCTTAATTCTTTTTATTGAGATAATCTCTCTTATAAAACAAAGATAACTTTTTTTGTAGATTTTATTTATTTATTTTTAGAGAGGGAAGGGAGGGAGATAGAGAGAGAAAGAGAAACATCAATGTGTGGTTGCTGGGGGTTATGGCCTGCAACCCAGGCATGTGCCCCGGCTGGGAATCGAACCTGCAACACTTTGGTTCCCAGCCCGCGCTCAATCCACTGAGCTACACCAGCCTGGGCTCAAAACAAAGATAACTTTTAAGTAAACCTTGTCTGGACTGAGCTGCTGGCTAGTGTTTCTCCCTTCTGGACTTCACTGTGACAACTTATCCTATTTTGCAGGGTGAGCTCCATTTGTCATTTAAGAACACTCTTCTTCATGCATAGTTTTAAAACATTAATGAGGATTCCACATGGTCTTGTTTTAAATGCTTTAAATATGACTGCAGTGAAAACAAGGTATTTAACAAAGGGAATAAGAGTCCACAAGTATTTTTCTTACCCTTGTTTTGAGCACTCAGTGTCTGAACAACTTAGAGTTGGCTTAAGCCTCCGTTCAAAGGTGGAGAGAGCTGACACACTAGGATGGGCCCCAGGGGTGTGTGCAGATGGGACGCAGAACACCCGGGATGCTTATGCCCAGACCTCGCTTAAAAGACAGGTTTGAACAAAAAGTTTATTGTTCAGAGAGGGTGATGACAAATTAGTAAAGAAGCTAGTCTTCAGGGAAAGTTCTGGTTCATATAAAGACTAAAATACAATATATTTTAAAATTTCCATAATGTCAGAGATTTCTTCTTCACATGTATCACTTGCAGTTTTTTTCGTATGCCCCATGATGCCAAAGGAATCAATAGCAAGGAGTTTGATAGGTGATAATGAATAACAGAAGTTTTATGAGAACTCCATTGTAAATTTTGTAGCACATTTATCTTTTTGAGAATAAATCTCTGTGTATTAGGGTTTTGGATTTGGAATTTGGAAGTTCTTCTCTGTGTGTTTTATTTCTGAAGTATTTTAATATATGCTTAAGGTAAAATTTTAGCATAATGGACAATTATAATTATGAAGAAAATTTGAACTTTTTTAATATTAGATTTTACCTGTGATGTGAAAAGAAATGAGCCATTGGTCCAAGCAGAAAAGGGACCTTTCTCAAATACAGAAAAGATTGAGCTCAGGGGTCAACACAACCGGGATTTTATTAAGCGAAATATTGAGGTATGTACTTAGGAATTTAGAAGCCAGAATGTGGACTAAATAAGTTCTGAAAATGGAAATAGTTGTCTTCGGTGTCTTTACCTATTTTTTTGATTGTGATACATGTATATATAAACAGCATTTATAACTGAACGAAAAGTTTTATGAACCAATACTTCCCTATTTTCTGTTCAATCTTATCCTCTGCTGTCATACCCCTTTGAAAATGCTAGCTTCAATGCAGTGCATTTATTTTGTTACCCAGAAATGAATCTTGTTCCTGTAATCTGAAAAACACTTATTTGGATAAGAGTTTTGGAACATGTTTCCCAGATTTTAAATTGCATGTTAGTAACATTGTTTTTTTAGGGTAATGAGACAGGTTTTATAGCTGATGCACTTGGACATTTGAATGGAAAGCACTCCTGGCAGAGCTGGCGAGGCCAGCTGGTTGTTCCTCACATCCCTACCCAGCTCCACTCAACTGAACTCCTGGCAGCCCTTCACTTGTCACGTGTCTCTATTAGCTCCCTGCTTCAAGGCCTGCCCTTGGTCTTACAGGCCCTGCAGCCTCACTTGGTTTGTTGTTGATGCAGACTCAGATTAACCAAGGGCACAGAGGCTCCTCTATTAGACCAGAATGCTAATTAGTTTATAGCAAGAAATGTAAGTGCAGTGGATAGAAGGCTCGTGGCAAACCACTGAGGCAGTCAGGTCGTTAGAAGACCACATTGGTGCGTGTGAAGTGTTAACAAGAGGAGAAAGTTAAATAATATTTCACCGTTGAAGCCTGATCCTTTTTCCACAATTGGCATGTCATTTCCATACAGTTGGGATTCATGGGTCAGCCTGTTCCTGTCAGAACTGTAGTCTGGGACTCTCAATTTTTCTTTGCCCCATGTTCCTATAACCTGAAAGAAACCTTTCCCAACGTGAACTGTGTCTTTGTGTTAGCCCATTGTATGTTGCTTTACTGTTTTTGCCAGAGCAGTAGTGTTTTTCCCATATCCAAATTCTTGCTGACACAGCAGCTCCACCATAAATGTTTCACTTAACAATAGTGACTAATTCTTTATTTAAACTCCTCATATGATCTTCTTGAATTTTAAAAGCAATTTCATTTAGTGGATATATGCCACATAGGAAGTGACAAGAAGATTCTTCCCAAATGTCCCAGCAAATATGTTTTTGCATTGCTATAATAGAGAGGTTTGAACACTGCTTGTGTTTTGCTTTCTTTTTCAAATGAAATGTTTGCTAAATGGTTAACAGGAGGGCCTGCTTACAGCAGAAGTATATTTGCTTGGAGAATGGACCTATACCAAAAATCTGACATAAAATGAAATTACCTGGTAAATGAAAAATGCCTAATTTCCCAAATTTTACCTTAGTGAATCTGTACTATAGAAACCTCAGGTTTCATTTTTATTTTCCTGAATGATGAATTTCTTTGAGTTTTAATATTTTTCATTAATGCATTCTGTAGTTGGCCAAGAATTCAGGAAAACCAGTGGTTATGATTGATAGAGAGAAGAAAAGGCTGGCTGAACTCTTGAAGGACTTAGATGATAGAGATTCTGGGCTGTCCAGTTCTGAGGTATGTAAACTCTGATAGTCAGTGATCTTTACACTGCCTCGTATTTATTTTTTATCATGTTATTAACTTATTAGTATAAACCAATAATTACTTTTTAAATTGAAATAATATTCTCTGACTTTAAAAAATCCTGTTTTACAAATTTATTTATTCATTAATTTATTTATAAAATTGTATTATTTATTTGCTCCTCCAGAGAGAGGAGAAGGGAGAAAAAGAGAGGGAGAGAAATATCAATGTGTGGTTGCCTCTATCACGTCCCCAACCAGAGACCTGGCCCGCAACCCAGGCATGTGCCCTGATTAGGAATCAAACTTGTGACACTTGGCTTCACAGGCTGGCACTCAAATCACTAAGCCATAGCAGCCAGGGCTACAGACTTATTGAAATTTTCAAATTTATTCTTGGTCAATTCATAATTGACATTCTTTATTTAAACTCATCTTTTTATTGTTATTCTATTACAGTTGTCCCAATTTTTCCTACTTTGCCCTCTTCCACCCATCCCACTTCCCACTCCCACAGTCAATTCCCACACTGTTGTCCATGTCTGTGGGTCATTCATACATGTTCTTTGGCTAGTCCTTTTCCCTCCTTTCTAGCATTACCCCTCCCCTCTGGTCACTTTCAGCCTGCTCCATGTTTCCATGCCTGTGTTTATATTTTGTTCATTAGATTCCTCTTAGAGGTGATGTCATATGCTATTTGTCTTTCACTGACTGGTTTACTTCACTCAGCATAACAGTCCCCAGTCCCATCTATGCTGTTGAAAAAGGTGGGAGTTCCTTTTTTCTTTTTGCTGTATAGTATTCCATTGTGTAAATGTACCACAGTATTTTTATCCATTCATTTACTGATGGGTACTTAGGCTGTTTCCAGGACTTGACTATTTAAATAGCACTGCTGTGAACATAGGGGTGCATAACTTATTTTGAATTTGTGATTTATAGTTCTTAGGGTATATCCCAGCAGCTGTATCACTGGGTCAAAAGACAGTTTTATTTTTTTGAGGAAATTCCATACTATTTTCACACAGGATGCACTAGTGTACATTCCCACTAACAGTGCGCTAGGGTTCCCTTTTCTCCGAATCCTTGCCAGCACTTGTTAGTTGATTTATTAATGATGGCTATTCTGACAGCTATGAGGTGATATCTCATTGTGGTTTTAATTTGCATCTCTGAATGGCTAGTGATATTGAGCATCTTTTCATATGTACCATCTGTATGTCCTCCTTGGAGAAGTGACTATTCAGGTCCTTAGCTCATTTTTTGATTAGAATATTTGTCTCCCTGGTGTTGAGTTGTATGCGTTCTTTACATATTTTGGAGATAAGTCCTGGTTCAATGTATCATCGACAAATATGTTCTCTCATATGGTCATTTCCCTGTGTATTTTGTTGATGTTTTCTTTAGCTGTGCAGAAGCTTTATAGTTTGATGTAGTCCCCATTGTTAATTTTTTCCCTTTATTTTCTAGCCCTAGGAGATATATTGGCAAAATCTGAAATTTTTGCCTGTATGGGATGTCTGAAATTTTCATGCCTATGTTCTCCTCTAGGACTTTTATGGTGTCACAACTTATACTTAAGTCTTTTATCCATTTTGAGCTGATTCTGCTGTATGGTATAGTTGGTGGTCTAGTTTCATTTGTTTTGCATGTACCAGTCCAGTTCTCCCAACACCATTTATTGAAGAGGCTTTCTTTACCCCATTGTATGCTCACACCACCTTTGTGAAATATTACTTGACCATAGAGATTTGGGTTTATTTCTGGGTTCTCTATTATGTTCCATTGATCTGTGTGTCTGTTCTTATGCCAGTAACAGACTGTATTGACTACAGTGGCCACATTGTAATATAGTTTAATATCAGGTATGTGATCCCTCCTACTTCATTCTTCTTTCTCAAAATTGCTGAGGCTACTTGGGGTCATTTTTGGTTCCATATAAAGTTTTGAAATATTTGTTCTATGTCTGTGAAATATGCCATTGTTATTTTCATAGGGATTGTATTGAATCTATAGATTGCTTTGGGTAGTATGGACATTTTAATGATGTTAATTCTTCCAATCCATAAACACAATATATGCTTCCATTTGTTTGTGTCTTCCTTGATTTCTTTCCTCAGTGTTCTGTAGTTTACTGAGTATAGATCTTTTGCCACCTTGGTTAAATTTATTCCTAGGTACTTTATTTTTCTTGTTGCAATAGTAAATGGAATTTTCCCTAGTTTCTGTTTCTAATGTTTCATTGTTGATGTGCAAAAATGCCCTCTATTTCTGAATATTGACTTTGAATCCCACTATTTTGCCAAATTCACTTATTAGGCCGAGTAGTTTTTGGTGGAGACTATAGGGTTTTCCATGGGCACTATTATGTTGTCTGCAAACAATGACAATTCTACTTCCTCCTCTCCAATTTTGATGTTTCTTTTTCTTGTCTGATTGCTGTAGCTAGAACTCCTAGTACTATGTTAAATAAGAGTGGGGAAAGTAGACCCTCTTGTCTTGTTCCTGAGCTTAAGGGGAAAGCTTTTAGTTTTTGTCTGTGGCTTTTATTATGTTGAGGTGTGTGCCTCTAATCCCATTTGTTGAGTGTTTTAATCATAACTGGGTGCCCGATATTATCAAATGTTTTTGATAAAATACAGTGTCTGTTGATATGATCATGTGATTTTGTCTTTCATTTTGTTTATGTGGTATATTATGTTTATTGATTTGCAAATATGATACCATCCTTACATTCCTGGGATGAATTCCACTCGATCATTGTGTATGATCTTTTTACTGTATTGCTGGGTCTGGATTGCAAATATTTTGTTGAGGATTTTAGCATCTATGTTCATCAGAGATACTGGCCTGTAGTTTTCTTTCTTTGTTGTGTCTTTACTTTGCTTTGGAACTATGATGATACTGGCCTTGTACAAAGAGTTTTGGAATCTTTCCTCTTCTTTAACTTTTTGGAATAGTTCTAGAAGGATAGGAGTTAGTTCTTCCTTAAATGTTTGGTAAAATTCACCTGTGAAGCCACTGGTCCAGGACTTTTGTGTCCAGGAGTTTTTGATTGCTGCTTCAATTTCACTATTTGTTACTATCTGTTGAGGCTTTCTGCTTCTCCCTGATTCAATTTTGGAAGATTATATGTTTCTAGAAATTTTTCCATTTGTCCAGGTTGTCCAGTTTCCTGGCATACAGTTGTTCATAGTAATTTCTTACAATCCTTTGCATTTCTGTGGTATCCTCTTTCATTTCTGATTTTGTTTATTTGGGTCCTTTTTTTTTTTTCTTGACGAGTCTGTTTAAAGGTTTGTTAATTTGTCTTTTCAAAGAACCAGCTCCTGGATGTATCAATCCTTTGAATTGTTCTTTTAGTTAATATGTCATTTAATTCTGTTCTGATCTTGATTATTTCCTTCTTTCTACTTTCTCTGAGCTTTGTTTTGTTGTTGTTCCACTAGTTCTTGTAGATGTAGTGTTAGGTTATTTTTTTGAGATTTTTCTGTCATTTTTAGATAGGCTTGTATTGCTATGAACTTCTGTCTCAGGACTGCCTTCACTGTATCCCACAGGATTTGGGTTGTTGTGCGTTCATTTTCATGTGATTCCAGACACTTTGATTTCTTCTTGATCTCATTGTTAACCCATTCATTATTTAATAGCATGTTATTCAGTCTCCAGGTATTTGAATGTTTTTCAGTTTTTTCCATGAGGTTGGTTTGTAGTTTCAAGCCATTGTGATCTGAGAAAATGTTTGAGATGACTTCAGTTTTCTTGAATTTGTTGAGGCTTGTTTGGTGCCCTACCATGTGCTCTGTCTTTGAAATGTTCCATGTGCATTTGAAAAGAATGCATATTTTGCCTCTTTGGGGTGAAAGGTACTGTGTGTATCAATTGTATCTATTAGATCTAGAGTGTTGTTCAGTGCCACAATATCCTTGTTGATTCTTTGTTTGGAAGATCTATCCATTGTTGACAGTGGGTTGTTAACATGTCCTATAATGACTGTGCTGTTGTCCATATCTTTCTTGAAGTCCTCTATGATTTTCCTTATGTATTGAGGTACTCCAGTATTAGGTGCATATATGTTTATAAGGGTTATATCTTCTTGATGGCCTACTCCCGTATTATGTGGTGGCCTTCTTTGTCTCTTTTTATGGCCTTGTTTTGAAGTCTATTTTGTCTCATGTAAGTATTGCTGCTGCAGCTTTTTTATTTTCATGTCTGTTTGGGATTTTTTTTTTTCCCATCCCATCACTTTGTGTAGATCTTTTGTTCTGAGGTGGGTCTCTTATACACAGCTTATGTATGGGTCATGTTTTCTTATCCATTCAGCTACCCTGTGTCTTTTGATTGCAGCATTTAATCCATTTACATTTAAGGTTATTATTGATAGATACTTATTCATCGCCATTCTTTCCCTTTGTACCTGTGTTCCTCTCTCTCTCTCTCTTTCTTCTTTTTATAGCAATCTTTAGCAGCTCTTACAGTGCTGACTTAGTGGAGACGTATTCTTTTAGCCTTTTTTTTTTTTTGGTCTGGGTAGCTCTTTATTTTGCTTTCCATTTTAAATGAGAACCTTGCTGGGTACAGTAGTCTTGGTTGCAGGCCTTTGCTTTTCATTACTTGGAATATTCCATTGTGGCTGAAAGAGAAAATAAATGCACAGGCAACAGCAATCCTGTGGAGAAAAAGGGGACAGCATGGCTACTCTCTCAAGGGGAGAGTGTCTATGAATGCCTCAGCCACTCTCTCAAGAGGAGAGCGCCCCGACCCTTGCCTAGACAGGCTTTTATTATTTTTCTCGGGTCTTACATCAGGGAAAGATTTATTATCTATTACATAGAATATTGTTGTCTACATTTTAGGTATAATCAAGGAAATGAAAATAATATGTAGAGGGGAATGGCGGCGAGCTGATTAGCTCTGTCCTTGGTGAATTTACACAGGCTTTGGAAATTACCTTGAAGATAGACAATACATATTTGTTGTTTTAGACCAGGG